TAGTAGACCTCCTAACCTAGGCCTAGGCTAGGCCTACTACTGCACCAGCGGCCGTCTACAAAACGTCTAGCCCCAGCTTTAAAAGACCAAGGCCTATCAAAATAAATATTGTACAAACAAATCTTTTATGTAAAATTGAGTTTCTGTTATGGCCTTTTTCTGTCAAAGATTTGGCTTGCTACCAATGCAGTTTTTGAAATCTCTAGGCCTAGCCCCTAGCTACTGTAAGCCTTCCTAGGCTAGCTAGGCCTAGGCTAGACGGGCAAGAGAAAAAAAAAAAAGAAGAAAAAAAAAAACTCCTCCCTCCCTCCCTCTCCCATCCTGCCCCTGAACATTTCTGAGGGTGTGACATTAAACAAGTATATTTTTTTTTCATTTCATATTTATATTTTCAAAATAATATGATATAAAATTAATATAAAATAAATTTTATTGAACAATAAAATTTATTTTATATACATTTATAATTATATTATTTTGAAAAATTCCAATAAGCAGTACATATTTAATGTGAAAACAAAATCACAGATACAAAATAAACATTAAATGAATGATAAACTTAACTTATTTTAAAAAATAAATTAAGTATATAATATTAAATTTTTATTTTGTATGTGATTTTTTTTTTCATATTAAAAATGTTCTGACACTGAAGTGAATAAATGTACAAGGTATAGAAATCGATTTCTTATACTCATTTGGCTATTTCTTTGTGATATTTATTGTAATACACTCACCATAACAGAAAATATTATATTAAAACATTTTAAACACAAATTTATAGAAGTACATCATTAGTTATTTTCATACAATTTATTTTCCGAAAATAATATGTTGAGTTGGTGTCAATATATTTTACTAGTTGAGAAGCTCATTTTGCTAGTTACATTTTTAACAACTAGCACATTTTAGCAATAGGTTGCTAGTGGCTGAAAAAGTAAATTTCTAGCCCTGATATAGTACTTTCATATGACTCGTACAACAGAAAAAAACGTCGCATGGAGTTAGTGAAAAATGGAGATCTAAATGAAAAAAACGATGTATTTCAGCAAGTATTAAAACATTTTTGTTTTATAGGCCTTCTTCAAAATACCTATGCCACAGCAGTTGATTTTTTTTGCCGTAAAATCAAAATAGTTTCATCCATGCCGACTTGCCGATCGGTTAGCGTGAGCCCTGACTGAACTTCTGCAGAAACTTCAAAATCGAACTTCTCATCGTGAAGTAAAACAAAATGTCGGAAAACTTTTCTTTGACGCATGCGTATTTGCATAAATGTCTACACACGCACACACATACTACACACAATAAAAAACAAAGGTAAAAGAAGAGTGATTACAATAGTTCCTATTGCATTGCATGCATAGGAACTAAAAAGAAAACAATAGGCTGCTATTTAGTTGATCGCGAGAATCCACCTTGCTACAATCAAATACAGTCGAGTTCGCCTAAGTCGAATCTAATGGGACTGGCATAAAAAGTTCGAGTTATACAGATTTCGACTTGCACATTTTTGAAAAAAAAAATATCAACATAGAACAATACTATGTGTACTCAATGCCCACAAAATCGAATTTCACGCAAAACCGTACATTTTCCTAAGCCGAAATTCGACTTATAAAAAATTCGAATTAAACAAATTACACAGTAATACATAGGAAAGAATTGGGACTTTTTTAAAAATTTGACTGACGCGAGTCGACTTTGGCGGACTCGACTGTAGCTGGTGAGGGATAATGCCCATATGGCGCGCCGTACAAATTCCGCGCCATACAAATTCCGCGCGGCCCAAGTTGTCGGCGGCCGAAGTAGTCTTATCCCCTACTACTGCACCACCTGCAGTCCCGCCTAATTCACTGGATATTATTAGGCCTAGAACTATTAGTATTTAATTAGTCATTCATTCAATCATTTGAATTGAATGAAAACACACAATACAAAATGTGTTTAATTTGCTGCAGAAACGGTCATACACCGTAGGCCTTAGTATAGTTAGTTGGCTAGGCTACAGACTAGGACTAAGTCCCCACTGTACTGATAGTAATGCAGTAGGGCCTACCTATAGTACTAGTAGACCTACTAGAGACAGACTACCCAGCCTAGCCTGAGGATGCTAGGCTAGCCCAGGCAAGCAAGGTCGCCGATCGATGTTATGTTAAACAAAATCATGATTTGATTGATTAAAAATTTAAACATGGCATGTCAGTAATAACCTACTTTAAGTAAGTATAAGTATATTAAGTTCCAAGACACTTTAAATTATCGATGTAAAATGTGTAAATTATAAGTCCAACCAACCTCGTACACTCCCAAAAAGACGTAAGCTTCTACAAAATTATTACATTGGATGGAAAAGAATGGGGAATTTGGAAGCGCTTTCTCTGTCACGTGCTATACTTCTATTTTTTAATAATAAAATCGCTCAAAGAACAAATAGTTAATAATACATTATTTTACTGTTATTAACATATTTAGCTACTTAAAAATTATAGAACTTACTTGAACATAGCATTAATGTCTACTTGTATTTAAACTGTAAAATATGTTAAATAAAAATATAAAAATATAAAAGTTTCCTAGAACGAATTTCTTGCGCGTGGGTCCTACATGCACTGTTTGCTGGCTGGATGGATTTTTTGGCGTCCGCTCATCACCAGCACCAGCATCTCCATCTTTTTAATTTACGTGTCTGAAGTCCGAATTTTCCAGTAGAAAAACAGAAAAGGGGTAATTTAATTGTTGAAATACTAACTAATTTATATAAAATAATATTTTTTTAATAGTATCTGCACGTCAAAAGACAGCACCATTTTTTTAAATTAAAGAATTATTATGGCTGTTTTAGACTCGATCATGTTTCATGTGTCCGCGAGTCTCTAGGCTAGGCCTAGCCTAGCTGGAAGGCCTAGCTGGAGGACCTCCTAGTCCTAGTATGCTAAGGTGGTAAGCCGGCTGGCCGCGCGGTAGGTATACCTGGCCTAGCCAAGCAAGGCAGGTCAGCCCTGTAAGTAGGCTAATCATCAATGGCTGCCGTGTTACAACGAAGGCTTGCTAGTACGGGTCCTGTTAGTGTTATAGATAGGCCTTCAGTCAGGGCGCTAATGAACTTTCGCACCTAACTTTTAATTCTTAATTTTTTTACCTCAACGTTCTTCTCATAGTCACAACATATAATTAACAAACATTTTCACCTGATTTAACCACTCACAAAGTACCTTTTTCAACAACTACAATAAATATATAAAATTTATTGTATAAAAAGATCGGATTTAATATTGTAATGAATATTGTTTTAACTAACTTATGAAATAGATTTCAGATGGTAACAACATTCAATTCAATTAAAATCAAAGATACATTTTATTGACTATTAAAGTATAGTATAGGAAAATGCAACAAAGAGAATTGCGTGAAGCACATACTAAATTCCATTGTTTCAATCATAAGATCATGTTTCAATCATTAATACAGTATATCTCCGTAAATAAAAGAAAGAGAATATTTTAGTAGAAAGATAAAATGTTGTTAGTAGAAAGATAGCAAAACGGAAATAAAAAAATACTTATGCCTATGATAAACCGATTGCGAACTAATTTTTATAACATACTGTATAGGGCCTAGGCATATTAAATTTTGCGTTTTCACAACTCCTTCGGTGCTCCATATATTTGTTCGAAATAAACCGCGACCTAAGTAAAGCAGAACCGAAATGAATCGCGACCGAAATGATCGGCTACCCCTATAATAGGCCTATCTTATATGAAAAAAGTGCCATAGGCTAGGCCTAGGCTATAATAGGATATTATGAGTCTTGACTCATCATGAAGAAATTAATTTGCTTTGTTGTGTTTTACCGGAAGGAAGATTTCAGAAAATTGAAGCTAACTATAAAAGTTGTCTGTTTGAGTAACTCATGATTTTGTTTTTCTCTTTGATTTAAAGAAAATGTCAGACCTTCGAGGACACTACCGTGATCATGGCCCGCTTGCTTGTAAAGTATATGTAGGTGACGTTGGTCCAGGCGCTGCAAGACATGACTTAGAAGATGCATTTGGCTACTATGGCCCTTTGAAAAATGTCTGGGTTGCCAGAAACCCGCCCGGATTTGCATTTATTGAATTTGAAGACCCTAGAGATGCTGAAGATGCTGTTCGTGGTATGGATGGCAGGTAAATGAGAATTCAGAAATGCAGTTTTAATGGCTTTAGTTCATGCACTGAGCTGATATTCAAATAGTAAAAGTATATTGATGCAGTATTTAAAAAATACTTGAAGAAACCCTGTATTTTTGTCATAAAATAGAAACATATGCGGCCGAAGGGTAAGAGTAGAAATGTCATCTGGTGAAACGAGACGTTCCAGGCGTATGCCTCCACCAGCCAGACGTGCAGGTCACGGTGAACGGTGCTACGAATGTGGAAAGCCTGGTCATTATGCTAGAGATTGCCGACCTCGTGGTCAGTATCACTCCAGAAAGCGCTCAAGGTATGCTACATTTGGATAGATTTTATGTTTGTAGAATTGTTTATGTTGTAAAAAGTAGTAGATAGGATTGTTAATTGTATGTACCCTATTTTTTTTTTATTTGTATGTGTTTTATATTTACTGTACATTATGTGATGTTTACAGGATATGTAAAGTGTATACATGGATATGTTTTTTGAGAACACATTTATACAAAATAATTAAAAAATAATAATATATAGATAAATAATATATATTACCAAGTATAAATTGGATATCTATATAAATACATTTATCCTAGTGTATACATAAACTAACAAATTATATACAGTTTAATCTTAATTCTGTAATTTTACAAATGAAAACATAGAGGGCTGATGTTATGGGGAAAATTAATACATAAAAAGCTATATGTTTAATAAAAAAAAAATAAATAGTAAGATGTGAATAATTCAATAACAACTTGTTTAAAATATATTATTACCAAGATAATTATATAGTTATCAGACATTACAATTTCAAAGTGACCTGATTGTGACCTCCTTTTCCAGGTTTTTAATGATCAGCTGGTCTCAAACACCCTTCCCATCTAGCCTCTTGTCCAGAATGTGCTAACCATCTAGCCTCTTGTCCAGAATGTGCTAATCACCTCGATATGAACCATCTAGCCAATCTCTAGGCGCTTCACATCTAGTCTGCTAGCACGTTCTGACACCTAGACAAACCATGTGTTGTCAGCATGTAGGGTTTATACACTGAAACCCGTGCCGAGTACAGCATTACACAACTAGATCAGCCACAAAGCCAATCAACAAAGCACATGTTGGTACCAGGCATCTAGATATTTTTCGGCCTAAATTTTGCCGAGTATTCGTAAAGCGCGCCACTCTCACCTGATGCCGAGATGCTGTCATTGTTAAAATTTCAACTCGTGTTGGCCTATCCAACCCTCCCAGTGACAGCCAGACAACACATCTACCTAAATTCACCTTGTTCATGATTTTTCCACAGCTGACTATAGGTACAGTATTATGTTCAAAGGCATGTCTGGGGTTAACAATAGGCTTTTTTTTTCTTTTCTTGTCTTATTTTTTAGACTAATTAAAAAACTCAAATTATAATAAAGCAATTTAAGTTAACTTAAAGTGTGAACCTGCATTTGTTCTGTGAGTTATGTCAAAGATAATAAAAAAGAAAATACACTGCCTTCACTGTATCACTAAAATTAGACTCCCCTGACTTAAAATAGAATTGGTCTAACGCAGGTAGTAATTGTAATAATTTTAAAGTCATAAAACCAAGTTGCTATCTACAGGTTGCTGCTTTAATCGGATAGTGTAAAAATGTGCAAGTGTAATCAAATAGTAGTAGTCACACAAACTTAATGATTTTCTGTTCTTGTTTGATTTAGGTCACCCTCGCCAAGACGATCATATTCACCACGACGTTACAGTCGCAGCAAGAGTCGCAGTCGAAGCAGGTCACGCTCCCCAGATAACCGTCGTAGAAGGTAACACATTCTAACTAAATTTTAAAATCTGAAAATGTGTTTCTATTAACTATGTGGCATTTTAAAATCTGAAAATGTGTTTCTATTAACTATGTGGCATTGATGTTTTTTTCCTAAATATTTTTTTTTTTTTTTGGAAAATTAAAGTTGAATTTTTAAAAAATCCACAATCATCTGATTGTAAGAAAGGCTATATTTGGATGTTGTTCATTTTGCAGTCGTTCCAGGTCATACTCTCGAGGGCGTGACAACTACAGCAGCCCACAGAGGAATGGATCCGCTGATCGTGATTAAATGATGATTTCGTCATAAAAAATATTAGGTCAACAATCGCTCAAGCTTGGCTTACATGTGGAAATATTTTACTTTCAGAAAAGAACGTTAGACAATCCTGAGCTTCGCAAACGTATAACAGCAAGATTTCTTTGGTGTTGAACATTTAATCATTTCGTGTCAACAGTTCGGTGGTGATGTAGTGTGTTTCAGTTTCATCAAAAGATCGAAACAAATTCAAGATGTTTGTAGTTGTTATAGCTTCTACCACACTATCAAGTTTTATATGTATGTAATTTGCCCATATTTGAGTATGATATGACAGAAACCAGTCAACTCGTCCCCTAGCAATGTCACCCCCTTAAAAAACCTAACAAGGGGCGAGTTTGCCGGAATGTGATGACACCTTCAGTTTTTTAAAATAAACATAAGTATGCCCATTTTTTTAAGCAGAGTATTAGCTTTTGCATTGTTTTTTTTCAATTTAAATATTCCAAAATAGACGATACATAGTATGCTAAATTTGTTTTATCTGTTTCTGATGATTTGATGAATACCTTGTGTTTACCCAACTATTATGTATACAGAAATATTTGTGCATTTTGTGAAGGTTTTAAAATATGAAAATAAATTGAATGTTTGGAAATACTCTAGGTACCTGTATAGCTTGTTCTTCCAGTCCAAGTGATGAATTATATTTTGGACATTCACATCACAATTAACTAAAAAATTACTCTATTGAAGAGCAGCCTCCTAAGCATTATAATGTTTTGTTATAGCGTGAAAAACAGTTGTACACCTTAGATGGGCAAATCAACCTCAATTGAGTAATTAAATAAGGCTTAAGGCTTGGCATATCTCAAAAGCAGCCTACTATTGCTAATTAACATAAGAATGTGGCAGTAATTGATTCCATTATTATTTTACAGCTTATGTGGAGAATATGAATATACTGTATTAAAAAGTTTCTGCCACTAATGCTGGTTTGTAGGATAATTTTTAAGCAAAGTTACAGTATATTTTAAAATATTTGCAACTTTTTGGATTTTTCAAAAGAATTATATACTTGTTTCATGGAAATTTCAGAAACTTTAAATTTGCAGACTTGACATGTCTTCGTATCTGTCTCTTATACACATCTAGATGTGTATAAGAGACAGTTCGTAAAGCGCGCCACTCTGAAAGGGTTCTCGCGGAAAGGAGTATTTGATGTCTGTGGCGCTTGTGCTTGTTAACAAAGAGGGCACAATTTTTTGTTTACTCCATTAATCCAATATGGCCGGAGATGAAGTAATAAAACTGCTGCTTTGCAAATGTTTTTTAACGCTGGCTATGTTTGCAATACATATAAATTTGAGAAACAGAAGGCGTTAAGGCGAGGCCGGCTTGAATTTTGAGCAGATAGGTGCAGACGATTTTCGTGTCTAAAGAACCGTCAGCTAGCGATTTCATCGGCTTTGTTAGCTGCAGCAGCGGTTGATGGCTGCTCGTGTGACCGTCTGATTTGTTATGCCTCAGTGCGTAAGACGGCGATGAACCCTGTACCCTTTTACATCGAGTTGGGCAAAACTCGCTACGGTATTAATGCGGTATTAAGACTAGGTCCCGAGGAGGTCTAACTGAAGCCGGCGTTTAGGCGTATTTACCCTTTCACATAGAACGCCGACGTTCGAGTAATACGGTATTAATACCGTTTTACAGGTCTGTCTGAAAGGGGTATAATTGCATAATTTGTTTATTATCAAGAAATAGTATTGACTTCTGTAATAGTCAAGCCTACGCTGTTCTTTAGCAAAACCGGCAAATGAATGCTTACAGGACAAAGTGGAGTAACACACTGCAAACAGCAGGGGGAACAAAAACTTGGGACCCTCTGTCAGAAAATATTGGAGAACACCAATTTTTTTTTTTTTTTAAATTTTGCTGAGGTGGGTGTGCACCCCACATCTAGAAACTCACCTGGCACCGCCACTAGTCACTGGTGTGTAGGTGGTGGTTTCTTCTTGGCTGGACTAATTATAAACTGCTTCCATGGGCCTGTATGTACATATGTAACCAGCGGCAGATCCAGACACTTTTTGCTAGGGGATCACAAGTGTTAATAATCGCGTACCTTTGGTCCAGGGAGGCAAGTTTTGGGGTGTTCCCCTACCTATTTGTGGGGTCAAGGGGATTATTTCCTCTGGAACCTCTGCAGTTTGTTTTTTTTCTAGCTACTGCTGGCGGAGTGTATACGAGCGCCCATTGATCTGAAACCACCCAGATCGGCCACTGGTAACTGATATGTATCACACTGCTTATGCAGTTGCCATGTTAGAGACCAGCTTTTTGTCCATTTATTATCAGCATCCCTTTCTGTTGTTTCATTGACTGGTATGTAGACAGACATATAATGGTATGTACAGGTTTATCTACTCTATTATTACTGTACATGACATACCGTACTCGCGCGAATAAGCGGCCCTCCTAAAATAAAAATTTCCTTTAGCGCCCTGTTTAAATAACCACCCCTTCTAATTTGAATAAGCGCCCCCTGAAGATTTTCTTTTTAGCAAGTCAATAATCCAGTCAATCCTTTGACTGTGGTTTTTGGCATGATTTGAGCTGCAGAGTGGAAACACATTCTTCTTAGGTCAATATCAAAAAGAGGATATTTCTCTTGGACAGATGAGAGCTCCGATCTCTGGACAGACAGTACTGTATATCAACTTTACTCTTTTTACATATTTGTCTATACCTAGTCCTACTCTTTTTCCGACCTTTAGCACATTCTCATCTGAGTTTTCAAGAAAAAATACAATGATCCTGCCATCCTGCTAATCTTAATCGGGCCGATGGCCAACAAGCTAACCACTAACCACCACCATTAATTGCATCTGCTATTTTGCTGTTATGTAAATATTCACACATTCTTGTCATGAGCCATGTTCTCTGGACGATTATCTTTCCGCCTAACCACCATCCGTAATGTCCTTATATATTCTTTTTTTTATTCAAAAAGTGCCTCTTGAATTTAATTTCTCATAAGAACCCCTCGATATTCATCTACTGTATTTCCATAAGCGTTCCCCTCAATTTCCATTGTTTGAATAAGCGCCCCTCAGAAAGTGCAAAAAAATATTTTAAGTGCACGGGCGCTTATTCGCGCGAGTACGGTATGTATGTCAGTGTGCCGATATACAGCACCAGAATTTTAATTTTGTGTGTGCATTACATAAAAAAAAAATTTCATGTATTTTTTATGTGATTGATCAACAAATCTGAATCAGATTAACATGTGCAGGTACAGTAATGCGCATGTGTAATTGCAGAACAATAATCGACAACCAACACTGCTACAATTTATGAAGGATTGGTTTTATTTACATTCCAGACTTCAGTTATATAAACCGTTTGCAACATTACAAGTACAGTGACTATAGATAATAATAATCAACCTACAAAATAGACGCGAAACTTTCTACAGGTGGTATTTTAAACATCGTAAAAGAATAACATAGGAAGAATGTCAAACTCGACAAACTGTGATAATTCGCAGTTTTAGTGCATAAATCGAATCACCTAAGCCAGAACATCCACTGGAGCAAGACTCGATGGAGCACAGTTTCGATTCCCCCTATCAAAACGAAGAACCTTCAAATATAATATCATCAGTACTTGCTGCAACACACAGCAAAAATTAGACAAAATAACAACAGTCCCTCAAGATATGCTGAACATCTTGGCATTTATAAATCCCAGTACACTATTATTTTATTAATGCTGTGGAAACTGATGTAGACAATATCTTATTAACGTAAGCAAAAGAGTTATATAGGAAAACACAACACCAGCGGATAACAGTAGCTTTTGCGATTTATAGATCCAAGCCTTGGCATATTAGGTCACTCACAAGCAGTACAGCAGTGTCTTTGGTCTATTTTTTTTTCTTATTTTCTTAAATTTTCTTCTGTAATTAATCACGCTTGCACTGTTTAGGATGTTGTTGGTAGGGTCATAAAAATTCCCACTAAGATGTTTTTGATAATATTTCCTAACATGTTTCTAAAAATCGTAGCTTAGCATACAAGCTACCAACTTACACATGAAACAGCTGTCTGGTCGTGGAAGCCAAAATACAGTTCATCCATTCTAATAAATACAATTTAGAAGCATATCAATCATCGTACTACAAAAACAAAATTCATCGGTATTCCTTGTTTTAGTAGGATATACTAATAGAAATTTAAATATATTCTCTATATTTGCTCAATTCTTATTCTGGAAAGCACACAAAGGCCATCCAATTAAAATCCAATGCTCATGATGAGTTTCAGAGATCCTATTAGGGATGCTCCCTTTAAATTATATCAGCTTAAGGATAATGAGATGTTCAACCTCAGTCCTGTGGAATCCCATTAAAACCATTTAAATCAAGCGTTTTGAATCCATACTCTCAGATCGACTTAACATATATTCACAATTGTCTTTGCCTTCAAACAATTTCAGGCAGTTTCCTCATTATACACGATTTTCAATATTATGTAAATTTCTCTCAAAAATACTTTCTTACGACAATATGAAATCAAGCTAGGATGATGATTTAAGAATGATCCAATAGACACTACAGTAACCACACAATACAGACCACCAACACAGGAGAGGTACAAAAAGCTAATATAATGCTCCTCCAAAAAAAACAAACAAAAAACAAACAGCCAACAGAAATTACTTATTCAAAATGTTTCAGAGAGTACAAATAGTTTTGGGATAAACCTTTCCCCCACTAATATTTCAAGGTTTTAATTCAATTTATCAAATTTTAGTTTACTTGAAACGGCCAGTGGGAAAAGATAGCTACCGCTACCTCATTAAGTGAGTATAGAGAATAGCATAAAGAATTTTAATATACTTAACCTAGATATAGGAGAAAAAAAAAGAAATAAGCACCATTTTTTGAGCCACTCATGATGGTCAATACCAGTCCCTACATATTTCATATTGGCACAATTTAAAAATGACATGCCTATCTTCTGCCATATTTCTTATAAGGACATCAACCTTGTTTTAAACAATTGTCCTGTTTACATAAGCATGGAATTGTCATAGAGAAATTAGGAAACCAAAAAATGCCTACATAGGCATGCACATACAAAGACAATAGTAGTAATTAATATCTGAGGTATTCCACTTGCTTCATTTAACAACTTTAAAAAGTGTTTTTTTTTTAATTTGGACAATCTCTAAAGTAAATTTATTCACATGTATATATGTCATGACAAAGAGATTTCGTACAGTACATCTCCTATGTACTGCTGTACAAGTGGAGGGACACTGTTTACTGACGACGCGGAAGCTATGGCTATGTTCAGAAGTCTCGCTTGGTACTGGATGAATAGAGGGCGGTTCTCAGGAACCTTGGCAAGAGCAGACAATGCATACGCTGCACGACGCATCATATCCTTATCGGGTTCGACCAAATCCCGAACGCTAGCTGGATTACTGGCCAATTCAAAATCCTCAATGAAAGAAATCAGATTAGAGATGCTGGCCGTCTGACAAGCAATGGCACGGCCAGCAATACTACTTCCGTTGGCCAGATTTGAAAGAAGCACAACAGAGAATTCACGCACAACAGGGTTTTTGCGATCCACCAAGTGCTGTACCAGGTTTGTAAAAACCCTTTGGATGCGCGTAAATGGTGGTGTAGCAAGCACCATGTCTACGTTGTTGTCCTTCAGTGTGAGTTTTGCGAGGGTCTCTAATGCGAGTCGCTTTGGTGATAGCGGGGAACTGGCTGGGAGCGATGGAAAGGGGTCGACAGCATAAGATGATGGGCAAACAACCCAATGCAATAGGCCATCCAGAATCGGCATGCATATTTTTTCCGGATAAATGGACAGGTCCAAATGGCCACAAATGTTACTTAATATAACAAGAGCATTCTCTCGCAACTGATTCAAGCAGTCCCATGATTGTTGAAACTTGTCTGAATATGGGCAATCATCTAATGAATCATCTTTGTCTTTGGGTGTACTGGAAGTATTGGTTACCTTCCTCTCGGGATGACAATGACTCATGAGCAAAAGACGGCCAATGACTAGCAGAAAGCCAGTATGTTTTACAAGTTCAATATCGTTACCAGGAATAAACGACAAGCTTCTAAGGATATTGGAGATACAAACACACAATCGTGATATTGAGTCTTTATACTCGCTGGATACACACAGAGCATATACATCATTTGTCAGCCCCTCATCTTCTAATACTATTTCATCATCTCTTTTCTTTGACATCGATGCATATGTCAACTTCTTTTCTTGATTGTCTTTGTCAAATGGCTCCAATGAATCTATCAGTTCCTCGCTACTCATTGTTTGCTCTTGTGGTTCACAAGCCGGACTACTTTCCTTTAGTTTTAATCCTGGGTATGGAAAGACTGTTTGTTTCTTCTTCTCAAAAACATTTACAATATGTTGTGTTAAGTCACCTCCACCTAAGCTCCAATGAGTCTTGTCACTCTCAAACCCTTCATAGACATCCCATTCCTTTATCTCATCAAGAAAAATTGCAGATGCTTCAACCAGGCCAACATTCTTGCTTTTATCTCTACCTTTTAACTTTTCTGTGGTAACATTCTGCACTGATTCAACATCTAGAAGGTCTTTAACAGTTTTAAAATCTTCTTTGTCATAATCAGTCCTTTCTGGTATTTCTTCTAAAAATTCTTCAGTTCTATCAACATCACTTTTAAAGTCTTCTTCGTTACACTTTGTTTTATCAGTAGAATTTGTTACACATGGCTTGTCTGTCCGTTTGCTACACTTGTTTTTATTATCCATATCCAATTGTTTATTTGATTTCAGTTCCAGATCCTTAAATTGCTCAAATAGCAGCACGAGACAAGCTCTAAAATGGTCCATGACTAATTCCAGCAATCCAGGAAGCTGTTTAAGATCAAAATACATGACTGTGGAATCATCAAACAATAGAATATTCATCATATCCAAGGCCCATCTGCTTTCTGCCAGTAACCCAGATTTTAAGCACATGGTCAGCCTCATAGCCTCTACAGCCCCTGCCAAGCAAACAAATTAAACATGATTAGCTATCAGCTTCACAATTAATAATAGCTGTTCTTATAGCTTCCAAATAGCAACTATAATTATGGAAAGTAATAATTCTTATATTTTGCATGGATAATAATAATGTGTGTGTAAAAACAATAAATGAATTATCTTCTGTGTTTGTTGGGTGTTACAGTAGAACCTTGAATTTACGTACAGTATGGGACCAGCGAACGTAAATCGGGGGATTTGTAAAATTGAGGTTGGGTTAAATTTTAGGTGACCTTTGAAATAATACGACGTAACACTCAATAACGTAAGTTATGAACAAACAATGTTACCTAGGCTAGACCTAGCCTCTAGGCATACGAACAAAACCATGTGCCTAGTGTATTAGTTCATCACTTTATATCTTTTATTTAACTACAGAACATGAAAATATTGTAAGATTACCTATATGACAAAGGTATAACTTGGGAATTCCCCTTCATGCCTATTCTAAACAACAGAGCTGTGGTGTTGTCTGGGCCTGCTGAGACAAACTAATACCATGTGCACTGCACTGGGCGAGCCAACCAACTAGCATTCGTGCACATGAATCAACAACCATGTGCACTTCACTGGGTGGGTGAGCCAACCAATTAGCGTTCGTGTACATGAATCAACAACCATGTGCACTTCACTGGGTGGGTGAGCCAACCAACTAGCGTTCGTGTACATGAATCAACAACCATGTGCACTTCACTGGGTGGGTGAGCCAACCAATTAGCGTTCGTGTACATGAATCAACAACCATGTGCACTTCACTGGGTGGGTGAGCCAACCAATTAGCGTTCGTGTACAAAATTATGCCTACTTAGCTTCATGTAGAAAATTTGATCATACGAGTTTTCCACACGAAGCAAAGGATAAAAGCCATTATTTTGAGCACCATCGGTACTTGTTCATCTCACTCAGTTCACATGGTTTTAGATTATAACAGCCCGATATTAGACTCGATTAACGTTGCTGTTTAATAAAAATACTAAGCATATGGTTTTTTTTATTGTTATAGTATTGAAATAATAATCTCTTTTTATGGTGGCTCTGAAAAGGGCCGTTTGTTTTGAATATTTTTGGTATTTTTGATGATGACATCGCCGATACGAGGCGTACATAAAACCAAGGGTTTGTATAACTGGGGTACGTAAAAACGAGGTTCTACTGTACAATTTGTCAAAAGTCTCTACACAAATAATATATTTTTATACATATATTTTAAACTATTACTCTATCAACTAACCACAATCTTTGGCTTTTAGTCTCCGTCTTTTCACCAAACTTGGTTGCTTAGCCTCCACTGAGCCTGGTGGGTAGATCACTTCCTTCTGAACATGAGAACTCTGGCTCATCTGTCCTCTATGCTGTCGCATCCTGCTGTGCTGTTGCATCTGGTGATGTTTTTCCCTTGTGGCGGACATCAACGCTGCCAGCCTCGGTGCTCCAGCCTGAGCACCTAGGAGCATCCCTGGTGAGGCGTTCGAATATGGCGATCCGCCTGGTCGCTGTTGCATAGTTCCCCAGGATGGTGAAGGACCGTGACCATCTCGGAACCGCATGGCGTTGTAACCATCACGTTTTGGACCACCTTGAGAGGAATTAGGAAAATGAGTGTCACTCCACGCAGCCCAGGAGTTAGGGGGTCCTGGTGGTGGTACAGGCATGCTTGGTCCTCCCCCAATGGGTGGAATAGATTGATCAGCAGAATATGGGTTACTGTACATGCCTAAAGAGAAAATGTCAAAACAAATGCAGTTAGTAGAAGCTGAAAGCTGCCCTAGCAAGTTCTCTAGAAGGCTGCCATAGTGACTAGATGTCAGTCTCTCCATACAGCTGGAAGAGGAAGGAGAATAGCTTAGCTAATGCAACACTGATATCATGGTAGACCATATATTCCTGATGGTTGATATTATCATGCACCGCCACCGTGAATATATGCCCTACCAGACCGTCTGAGACAATTTGGTAATTTATATTACACTACTTTAACCTGCATAAGGTCAGCATTTATAGGCCTAAAGATTGAACTTAAATTTTGATTCTGACCCCTTCCCTTAATCTGCCTTTCAAATGTTTAGATAACAAGATAGAACTTAGAACAAGGCTGAACAGCCACTAGAATATTAATCATACACAACTTCCATACATGCTGAATTTACATCACAACACGCAATTTAATCATTCAATGTGCAAAGAGCATTTACCTGCAGAATTCATGGGTCCTGGATGTCTTTCATGGTTTGGTTTGGGAAAAGGGCTCTGAGTGTTCATCCCAGGGTCACCAGATGCAAAATTACCTGGCTGTGGAGGATAGTTGCTTTGTTGTGAAAAGGGCGGCATTCCACCACGGTAACTGTTGGGTCTTGGCATCATACCTCCTTGATTCATGAAATCAGGACCCCTTTTTGGTGAAGGGCCAACCATATCAGTCTATATATTGAAAAACAAAACCACGATTATTTATGAATAATAATTATAATTGTTAATTAATGTTGTGTTGGTAACAAGCCCATTTATTACAAGGTCAAACAAGTAATACATTCTTTATTTACTTTGTATCAATATACTTTCAAATGCAAATTTAATATAGAAACAATTTTTATCAAACAGACATATAATATGATGATTATAGACCAGGAGTTGAACAGTCATTCACAATCGGAAAATGTCTGCTTCAGATCTGGGCATTAATTTAGCATCATTGTGCCCACTAAAGCAACTGAAACACTTTAATGGTTATTAGCTGATGCATTACGGCGATGTAGAATATCTTACCGGTGGTCGTTTCTGTGGATAGTTGGGTCGTATGCCATCATTTGAAAACATCCCTTGAGGCTGCTGTCCTGGATACGGTCCTTGGTATGGTGGTGCCATGTATGAACCATCCTGGCCTTGTGGTCTAGGCCCTTGGGGTGGCTGTCCTCCATACCGTGATGGATACATACTCTGATCCATTGAGTTGTTTGCCATTGGCCCACCTTGGTTCATTCTGGAGAGGGGAAACATTTATTAAAAATGGTTAAAATTTTAAAAATGCTACAAAATTGTAACTTGCAGTTTTGAACATTTAAATTATGATGTAATAGTTGTTGCTAGGCCAACTTTATAAAACTATTCACAATCTGTCCAATATAACTAATGCTTTAAGTTGTTTTGTTAATTGTTACTTAAAGATTAAACCAATAAGTTCTATACTACTCTACAGCTTATTACATATAGAATGTAAAATTTGATTAATAATTTTTGCAAGTTTGACCAGTTTTAATGGTAATACTTCACATCAAACAATGTACCAGTCAATCAATAACTGTAAAGCAGAAATTTACATTTCATTATAAATTTAGCTAGTTTATTATTTTTGTTACAAGTAGATGTTTAAAAAAATCAAACTGTAATACTCACCCTTCCCGATCAAATTGAGGTCCATAGAGTCGATTGCCTCCCATACCAGGCCCAGAAGGCATAGGACGTCGATTGAAAGAATCCTGTGGCATACTGGGTGCATTCCGTCTGCCGCTGTACATATCATTCCCTTGGGCATTCATCATTGCCATCTTATTCATAAATGGTTCTGAGCCGGGCACTGAACTATTCCATGTTGGGTCCATACCGGTGTTTGGAGTCGACCTCCCTGGGAAGTTTGGCCTTGCTATAGTATTATTTGGTATAGCATCATCAAAAGGATCTCGAACAGTTATACTATCCTTCGAGTTATCTGTATTTGGTATTTGTGGAACTGGTTGTGGCATCATCGGTGACGAGCTACTCCGCGTGTCACCGGGAGTACCTGGTTGTGAGGTTTGACTTGGTGGTCTCTTCAAGTTGTCCAGAGAGGGAGAAGCTATTGAATTAGGCAAGTCTGCTATAGAATTGATTCCTGCAAATAAACATGTTCAGGTTTCAGTCAATTATTTTGTTATAACAAACATATCACAATCAATTGTCACTCATGAATTCTAGAATCTACATCTAGAATTAGAGAGCTTTTGATTTGCGCGACATCATATTGATTCACCATCCTGCCGTCCTCTGCACAACATAGATCCAAGCCAAATTGCATCCTACAATCCACGAGACACACAGATGACTTCTCAGTGACGCCATGAAGTTCTATGGTCGTCGTGCAATCAAAAGCTTCATGTTAAGCAAGAGAACTTACCAGGTGAAGAGGCTGAAGAGTTGTTAGAATTTGAGTGGTGTGTGTCTGCATATATATGCTTCGGACTCGCTCTGGCGTGTTCATATTCGTACGATAACAAGAATTTCTCATAGTGCTTTTTAACTGTGTATCCTGCATGATTTGTGGTACCGAAATGCACAGTACTTGCTATCTCCTTCCATAATTTATTCTTTGAAACCTGAAGTTAATAAGAGCAATTATTAATGGAATATTCATTTTCTCAATTCGTAGAACTTATATGTACTATGTTCATCCAGCTAATTGTCGCTATCAAACAAAAGCACTTTCATATTGATATGTTCTCCTTTCAGCTCCAATTATCATTAAACCAGAGCACAAATATTTTGCAAGAACAAAAATCATAAGTAGTAGTGCTAGAATAATGATCAACAAAATTATTTACCAACAAATAGTATATTCATATAAAGCAGTAAAAATCATGTGGCATCATATTTAAATTGTCTCTACCCGTATTAGTCTATATAACAGTGCTTAACTGAAAGTGGCGCATAGCAAAATAAAATACTATGTTTGATGCGGTATGCAGCACATATTTTAGTAAAGTGCATATATTCCTGAGCAACGTTTATTTTAGAAATGTATTTTAATGATATTTAGTTTTTTCAATTTAATAAGAAAATCAATGTTTTTTTTGTATCAAAGATACAAGATGAACTTACTTCAGCTAATCCACCTTTCTCCTGGACATTCCTATACAATTTGAATAGATCTAAAATACCGCTGCGGCTTGTGGGTAATGACACTATTGGTTCTCCTTTTGCTTCCATCAATTTTACTAATGTATCTAAGAAAGGCTTTCTATCTGGGTGGTCACACAACTCATATAGTCTTTCAATCTACAAAGAAATAATAAGATACGTCTAAAAATGTGTTAATTCAGTTAAATGACCAAGCAGTAAAGGCAGGGATCCCGTAACCAAGCAATATTAGCACCGCTTGCCTATGGTTATGGTGGTGGAACAAATCTTCTCCGAAAAGCACTATGAGCTGTAGGCTCAGTGTACACAATTATGCACTTTAAAGAACCCAGTACATCTTTCAAGATAAGTAGGGGTTACCATGGTGTACTGGTCCATACAGTTCCTGTTGTGGACAGATGGGAGGAGCTGGTACTGTTTTCCCATCTAGTTCCGACTGGAGATGGAAGTTTTCGAATTAATTACCTTATTGTAGGAGGGATCCTTTTTCTCTCGTTTAACAGTCGGTGGTTTTACATCATTCACTTCCTTGTTGTTATCTTGGGATGACTTGGTTTCGTCCCCGGATGAGGCAACTGGGGAAGCGCCGGTTATTCCCTCTGGTGGAGTTGGTGGTTCAGTTACCTATTGCAGAACAACATAAAAAAGGATGATTAATTTTAGTGAAATAAAGTGGCAGCACAGAATCAGGATTATAAAGACAAGTCCATATATATATACACGTTGAAAATGAAACATTACTGTCATTTAAGTTTCTGTGGTTTAAAAGAACCTATTAACATTCTACTATTTCAACCAACTTTAAACCAACAGTAATAAGCAGTTAGCAACATGCTAATTAATTACTCTTATGTAATAACAAGGGTCACAGACTCTTATATAATAACAAGGGTCACAGCAACTGTAAAAATTATGCAGGCTTCAATACAACACCTATAGAAACTCTTACTCAAAAGCAATCATTTAATCTCATCCTGTTCAGAACCTATTTTTCAATAGCACTTCAACACTTACTGGAGAATGATGCTTAGTGAAAAAAATGTATGTTTGGTGCAGCACTATGTGGAAATTGCCTTAAATAAACAATTTGATGATATAAAATGATAACCAATTTGCCACATTTACTACATTGCTACTACAAGGTAAATACAACTAGGGTTGCAGACCCCATTACATCTACCTTACAAGAGGGATATGCTATGAGATAGAAACAATCCACTACAGCCATACCACATCGCTGATTTGGTTAAGTATTTGGCCACAGACTCAAATGAACCTGCAGAGTTCTGAAACCACATTATAATGAACATAAAGACCTGTCCACACTATCAAATTTTATGACAAAAATGTGACATCCCTAAATATGATCAGGATGACATCACATCATGAACATAGCATAGCAATGACAAAGCTATAGTCTAGAAAGACTCCAAGCAAAACTTATCGTTTGGATTATTTCATTTAGAACAATTACCGAAAGTGTACCGACAGTACAGGGAAAGATATGCAACACAGTATCGATGAGCAACACTGTGTCAGGATAGAGGCACATCATGGGCGGATTGCTATAAGCGGTCTTTAGACGGTCTTAACGGTTAGCTGGCTACAATCGTGACGTCACTAATGGTCTATGATTGTAGACCATTGCTATACCGTGGTCTAACCAGTTTGCCATCATGGCGTTCTGCTGATTAATTCAACAGTGCTATGACAAGACCTAGGCCTAGATCGTCAAAGTCGGAGAATCAAACGACGAATACTCCGCACACTTCTCAGCATCTGTAAAAATAACTACGTTTACTTAATCTTACGTTTACAGGGAGTGCTTGTTTGCTTTTCAATACCCGAAACGGTCTTAGGGAAGACTGTTTTATAGCAATGGTTGTAAAGGAATGACTTTAGTAAGACAATCTACAGTACGGACACAAATTATCGCTTCGTATCTGCTCGTAGATATGTTTTGAACGTAGCTACGAACCACTACGAAGATCATTGTTATTTTAATTAGCTTTGCAATGATCGTAGGCTGGATCGTCAGGCTGATAAACAATGTGTATACAATATTGAAATATAGTTTACCAGCTTTCAACACGTAAGCAATGTTGCAATTTACTAATAAACAATGTTACAACTTTATTGTTTTGTTATATCCTACCTTATTATTAGATCGATCATGTTTTAAATCTGTGTTTAGTTCGCTAGCTAGGTAACCTAGTGGGCATTCAGTATGTTCGAATTTCGATGTCATTTAGGCCTACATTTTCCCCTATAGAGGAGGAGAGCAGACAGTAATTATACTGGTAAACGTTCCAATTCGGAGAATTTTGATCTGATATTATTGTTCTGGCAGTAGGAATTTTCTTCTTTTAAATAATAATACCGATGACAAATCATGTACAAATTATTACGATTTCTACAGATCACGTTGTTTGTTTACCGTAATTTGAAGCAGAACAACCTGGAAAGCGATCCAATACTAAATGGAAGTATAGAAATCACTACTTTCTGCACATACAAATAAACAACATGCTTTTGCTTCGTAGGTTCGTTCGCTTCGTGTAGCCTTGCTTAGATTGTTTATATCAGGCTACGATGTATCTACCAAGCCTGCGCGCAGGTAAAATTGCAATATTTCGTGGCGGTACTGTAAGTAATAAAGCCAGCTTTATTTAAGGAGTTAAGACTGTTTTATAGCAATCCACCCCATGACTATATATGGGCATACAACAGTTTTTTTTCTCAAAAAAACTTGGATTGTCTGGACAGAGCTTAACAATAATTTCCTAGATTCTCACCTTCTTATCTTGCTGGGTTTCTGAAGGTTCTTCTTTAATGGTGGGTAAACTATTAGCCTCTACGGCTTCCATTGTATTTACACTTTCCTGCTTCATCACATCTGCAGTGCTTTTAGTATCAACATTATCTGATGGAACTGGCAAGTTTGTAGGACTTGATTTACCTGCAATAAAAAACATTTGTAGATATCAGTGATTGAAGAGCTTACAATGAAAGACATGAATAATTTATAAAGCATCATACATAAATATTGATATTGTCTAGAAATTAAAAAGTAGTTTGGTCTGCAAGCAATAGCAAACAATGCATGTTCGGTAGACAAATTTTTATTAGGAATTATGAGGCTTCAAAGGTGTGAAATTGTGGTTTAAACGCGAGTTGCACATGGGGAGCGAAGTTGCACCTAGAATGGAATAGCACCTGGCGAGTGGAGTTGTGATTGAAGAGTGAAATTGTGCTTAGTGAAAGATAGCAGGGATTGAGAGTGAAATTGTGCCTGTCTATCAGCTTCATAAAATTTTAACAGAAAAACCTTTTACTATCAAAATGAAACACCTACCTGGCATACCATTTTCTATCGTGGGACCTGAGGTCATTCTGTCAGATTCTTGTCCAGGTGCTCCACCACCCAGAACCATCTGGTTCTGCTGTGGTGGCCAGCCACCGAAACCTCCACCGGTCGGGAACTGATTTGTTAATGGTCTCTGATTCTGCACTCCCGCACCTCGAAATTTATGAGCGCTGTTTGCAGCAGCTAAGACAGCAGCAGCAGCAGCAGCCTGGGCTCCTCTTATGCTCGACGGGCTATCAGCACCTGGTGCTCCTGTTCCTACTCCTGCCTGTGTATCATTCCTTTGGTAGGCATTCGGTCCTCGTGGACTTTTCATGTTAGCATTGGAATGCGGCATACTTGGCATATTTCCTGAGTTGTATGCGTTAAACTGTGAGTTGAGACCGTCCATGTTACTAGCACCTCGTGGTCCTCTTGAATCAAGAGTCATTGTGTCTCCCATTGCAGCAGAACCAGGCATGTTGGGACCAGGCATGTTGGGACCGGGTATGTTGGGACCGGGTATGTTGGGACCGGGCATGTTGGGACCAGGCATGTTGGGACCAGGCATGTTCGGTCCAGGCATGTTCGGTCCAGTCATGTTCGGTCCAGTCATGTTTGGACCGGGCATGCTTGGGCCAGGCATATTAGGACCAGACATATTTGGTCCAGCCATATTTGGGCCAGGCATATTCGGCCCAGGTACATTTGGATTAGAGCCGTATCCATCATATCCTGTCATACTATGAGGTCTTCCTATATTACCTATGGAGTAATGAAAACATTTTCTTTCAAAAGAAATCAATACAATTTATTAATAGCAAACTTAAATTTGTTAAAAATAGAGCAAAATAATACTTAGCTAAAAAATATTGTTATATCCATTTTTGCCAAGAACTATACAAATACTGAAATATAATTTACATTTTTAAAGTATTCAGAAATTTCTCATTTCTAAAATATTCATAAACCAAACCAAAACTAGGAAATTAACAAGTGGTTTTAGATCGCCATTTTGTTTATTTATGCTTACAGTTACTATACCTGTTGAAAAGTAAAATATGTGTTATAGTGTGTGCTGACCACATCAGTGCATATAAAAAAATATAATTCATTTAGGGCACAGTAAGATTTATGAGGAAATATTACGTGTGAGTGCTACTAAAATAATTGTTGAATTAGTAGGACAAAGTTGACAAGGATTAGTAACCTAATGAGCGAGATTATCACTCAGGTATACAGTAGATAATGCTATCACAATGTGTGTCCACCAACATCTACAGAAAGTCGAGAAACCAACCTTGTTGCATTGGTCCTTGCATTCCTTGGGCGTAAGGGGCCATATTACCCCCTCCCTGGGAAAAGCTGCCCATTGGCTGATTCTGTGCCATGCTTGCGTATGGGGGGAATGTAGAATGAATATTAGTTCTCATCTGTTGCTGTTGATTAGGGTAGCCAGACATCGCCATCTGGTGGCCTGAAGACATTAATTCACTATTAAAACCTAATCCGAAAATAAAGAAAGCAGGGAACTATCAACTTTCAAACCATCTATATTCACAGATTGTCATTTGAAATGGACATGAGTAATTAATTATCTGCTAACTTCTAACACAAATAATTTGAACTTTAAGCTCTAGGGGGGTTTTCGTTTGGTTTTCTATTTTTGGAAATCAAAATTGTTCAATATTTTATATTCTAATTTTCTACCCAATTTACTTATGGAGATTTCAGCAAATTTATGTAACAGAATCAAATTTGACATGTGAAATAATTTAGTTTTTAAATTGGAAGAAAATGGAATAGTCAACTATTATTAACCAACTGGTTAGAAAAAAAGAAATTAAAATCTAAATAACATGCAATACTACAACATACAAAATAGCAAAATTGCCAATTGTTAATAAGGTTCACAGTGACAATATTACAAATTGTTTTCATTTGTCTTTAACTGTGACATATACTTGTGATTTGCCCATGATAATGCCATTTCACATTCATATTTGGGCTTGATCTCATATCAACACCATAGGTCTGTATTTGTCACAAAGCAAGGATGAAGATGTGTTGAGCTAATGAACTTGAAAAGTAAAATTTAATATTTAAATTGTGTACTTGTATATTTAAGAAGTTATTAGCTTTCAAAATGAATTAAAGATATGCCTATATTCTTTGTATTGAGTTATAAATTGCTGGTAATTAATTACAAAATTTTGCAAGTCAGTGAGGTCAGTGAGTTATTTTGACGTGTAATTAGAAGCTTATAATTTATTTAACATTTTAAAGCAATCTAATGATTTGTTTACTAGAATTTACCAGACAATTATCTTTTTAAAGTTAAAGGTGGTGAATGTCAACACATTTATTATGCCTTTATAATGCACACTAACAAGCCTATGTAAAACCTGTTAATTGTTAAATGTTACCTCTTTCTTGAGAGCTCATCGGTGACTGGTTCATCTGATTTATTGTTGAAGAATCCGATTGGCTGGCAGGTGGTGGCGGCATAGATGGAGGTTGTGGGGTTATTGAGCCACCTACCAGAAAGAATCGTTAGAATAATCAGTAGAAAGATTTTTATAAATACATATGTTATTCTCAGCTGCTATTTATATTCTTCTTTGCAAGTATTAACCTTGTCAACTGAATTTTCTACCAAATTCTGCCCCCTTGGCAAATAGCGTAAATGTACACAAACACGCCTTTGAGGGACACATACTTATCAATGAAGTTTGTACAGTTTTCCTGACCCTGTTCTGATTGGTCAGTTAAATTAATTTGAAATTTGATTGAATTTTTAATTTAATTTGGAAAGTACATTACCTGGCAGATAATGACAAGAACAATTACTGAACTGGTGAAAATACCATCATAACGAAATACAGAAAACTATCAACTCTTTAAATGTAAGAAAATAATACATACAAAAAAACTTTAAAAGTATGTGTCCATCTTCATTATTTTTTATCATTATACTTAAGTTCTTTGAAATTGTGAAATTATACATTCAGAGGGTCAGCCAGCTCTTATGAGCAAACTTACATTTTTTCTCATGTATTTTTCTTTATCTCATAATATTTGAAAGTTATGAGACATTGTTTACATGGTTTAGCAAAGTTGTTGCATGCTTCTTCATGGCAAAATCCTTGGTTCAAATATTTCAAAAACTGTATTTCACATTACTGAAAACCCTACCTACAACTAAGTGAGATTAGGCCATCTTGTAGTTCACTTACCAAAATCATAATTTAACTAGTTCTAATTATATTGTAGGTCACAATTAAGTTTCACTACTATATTAGGTCACCATGTTTTAATTCTACCTTACAATATGTGTGTATATGGGTCAACAATAGTTTCATTGCTGTATTACACATGTTACTTGCTCCAATTTATGATTCCCATTATAACCGTACACACAGACGACGCTAGTCTTCACAATTAGCTTGAGATGAAGTAATCCTACACATTGTACACAATAACAGTATAATGAACAGCCCGCATGGAGTATAAATTGTTCATTACTTAATCAGCTTGGCTAGCTAAGCCAATGAAAACTTGTGCTTAGTTCTGTACAGGAATAATGAAAGTACTCTGGAGAGTGAATTATCATAGTAATCAATTCATTTTTTATGATCCTTAGCAACACTAGATTGTATGAATATAAACTATTCTGACTATCTTTAACAATACACTGTAAAATCCTACTTGATAATTAATTTAGTCAAAATAATTCATTATCACATTATTAATATATTATTATGCTAACAAGATAATAAACAATAATTTGATAATTATAATGTAGTACACTGATTGCAAAATTCAAGTTGATAAAAATTAAAATTATTAAATAATCGTAATTCCCAAGAGAACAAATGACAATATATGCTAAAAAATTTTGTTTTATTTACTAACAAAAATTAAAGATTAGAAATAATATATATGACAGAATAGGATATAAGGATTAAAGATAGCATATAAAGATTTTAAAATTTACTAACAAAAACTTAAATAACAAAATGAAACATGCTCTCCGGGAATAAGCATTTCAACTAGTAATAAGTAACAATAAAGTCAATCAATTTTAATAATAAAGACTAAAAAATGCATATTGTTAATATAAGAGCTAAAGGGTAATCAATCTATACTGTATCATGTAATATAAAAAATCTAATAATATGGGGAAGTTGAATTACGTACAAGACATTTATCATTTCATATAAAAATAAATGGATTTCTTAAACAAATACATCACCGATGATGTTATTCAGCTAGTTTTAAAATGATAGTCTCACAAATTGCACTTAGAAAATACATTAGCAAATGCATAATGAGAATAACTGTGATTGGTTGTTATACCCCATATAGCAACCAATCATGGCACGGAAGAATAATTTCAATTAGATATATGGAATTTATATTCCGCCATTCCTACTATACATGAACAATTCTGCTTATGGTATACAAAATCACAAGCCTCTCCCCGTATCATAGGGAATATGAATAGCCTACAGTATGCTCCCTACCCTACATTTATACTTGTGGGTAAATAGAGAAAATAAGTTCACTTATCAATGTAACCAGTGTCTCATATTGAAAACCCTTTGATTTATAAGCCCAACAACATCAACACATGAGCCAAAAAGGTTTGTTGAATAAATTATTAGATACTGTACTATGACCACAGATGCATACTGATTTTGAATAACAAATAAGGAACAACAAATGTACGTTGAGAGACACTTACCATGGATACTTGCAGGAGAGACAGATGATCTAGACATGTGGCTTGATGGCGAACCCACTGGAGATGTAGACGGCCTAAGAGCGGAGACTGTAGGATGCAGATGAGGTGATTGAGATGATTGTGAAAAGGAATCTGTTTGCTGAGATGGAGCCACTGACGTCCCAGTTTGGTTGAAATCATTACTACTTGTGCCATCATCTATACCTCCACTCTCTGCCTCCTGAAAGTAAAAGAAACAGACATAAAATAACATGTAACATGTTACTTTATTTACTGTTTATGAATTAAGTTACAATAATCAATTCATTAAATATTATTTTCATTGGTAACAAGTGTATATATGGTTTTTATGAAGGACAAATTTAATAATAATCTTTGGTTGGTTCTTTATTAATATTTAACCAGTAAGTCCCACACAGCATGGCTGATTTTTAGGAGCCCTCTCATTTAAACCTTAAAAAATCCACAGAAGACAAAAAATAGCAGTTTATTATGAGCATTTTCCAATGTAGGATGGGTTAACAGGAAAGATTGTTACTTTGTACTTCTATACTATTTCGCAATTCCTTGTGACTACAAAATGTGAACTACTCTTCAATAATTATTGTACAGGCTCCTCTCGGATAGCTGCTCTTGGGTTAACTCTTAACTGATGTATATTCGCTGATAACAATTTTCAATTTTAATTTTATATGACTGGACTGAAGTCCAATGGGAATTGAACGCATTCTTGTTATTTGTTACATTTTTTTACCTATGTTAGGGTTTGTTCATCACTATAGAATTCCGATCATGAGCAATAATGCATTGCAAATTTCTACCGAATTGACAAATCCATGTGATCAGCTGTTTTGCTTTTATGAATTTTAGATTTGCAATCATCATCCTTTCAAACAAATAATTATCAAAAACTAGCGAAAAAGTTTTTTTTTTTTAATTGATTTCTAATATATTATAGCCAATATTGTTATTTATTCTTAATTTCTATAACCTGGCTTTTCTTACTTCATACTTGATATACAATAGGTGAAATCATTACTTTGTTTTTCTGTGTAATTTTTTTTTTATACCATCTCAATTATTTTTTCAGTCTTCCGGCTATGGGTTGTTGTCAACACTTCAGGTGATTTATTGAATTTGCAACTTTAAAATACCATTAATCATCTGATTTACACAATCCTTAATGTAATTTTAATTCGTCTGTAGAAAAAACACATATTTTATTAACAATTCTAGTACAGTAGGCCTCGATTTTGCTGGTGCATTAATATTCAAAGTAAAATAAAGTAGGAAAGAAACTATTTTGTGCACCAACGGTAGTTGTTCATATCGCTCAGTCCATGTAATTTTATATTATAACAACATGTTAATTTGACACAACCAACGTCATTGTTAAATGCAAATTATTTGCATATGGTTTGTTTATTGTTACAGTATTAAAATAATAAACATATAGAAACTAAAAAACCTCTTTTTACATTATGGTGGCCCTGAAAAGGGCTGTTTGTTTCGAGTAATTTTGACGTTTTTGTTGATGTCATATACCCGCAAGTATGTTAAAATAGGTTCTACTGTATTAGGATTTATAATTTGAGATCTTATCTATAGCAAAATCAATGTTTAAGGTACTTGAAATAAAAGGTTATCACAAATATATAAAAAATAAGATCTTCAAGCTAAAGCTAAAAAATGAACTTTTCTTTTTTTATTTATCAATTTTTTTCATCCATTAAATCAATTGGTTATTTTGATTACAATGTAATTGATACATCTTAAATATCAATCAGATAAAACTAAAAGAGAAATGCAATACTTTTTTTCAGGAAATAAAAGAATTGTAAATTCATCAAGTACACATACAATGGAGACTCCAAGTCTCACAGCTCGAGATAATTCTTTTCCCCTTAAAAATAATGGAATGACCTTATTCTGCTGCACAAAATCAGTTACCTATTTTGTGAATGGTAGATTCCAAAAAGGAAGTTGAGTCAGCCAGATATGTGAACTACTGTGAGCAACAATTCTTGTACTTCTATAAGGAAACACAATGATGTAGTTGCTGTGGCAACATATTCAGGCATCATGATTTATAATTATGACCTTTGACATGTTCAGAAAAAAAAACACCAAGAAGTGCAAACTGTTCACCAACTGTGTATATCTGGATACATTATCTAAGCCAGTCTCATGATAATAATAAAATCTTTCTTATAAGGAAACTCGGTTGACATGGTGTTTTTAAAAGAGCCGGTATCTTTGCATGCAAATAAATTTAATTACAGTTAATAATGACTAAATCAATTTACTACTGTTGCACACATTACAGTTAAGGTGACAATACAACTATTTTTATTACTTGGTGTTGTTTTAGTTTCTATTTTTTATGTGCTTTTAAAAATATTCATCATAGCAAACACAGAAATACATATAATATTAAAATTATTTATTTTAAATATCCCACAGGTAAAAAGCATAGTTGTCAATAAAGGGTTATAACGAAAGATGTGAAATATTACCAAACATCATCCGTTACCGTATACAGTAGGGTATAGTGAACAGTGGCCTTGAAAAAGAAGGACTTCCTTAATGCTCATTTGCGTAGAATTCTTTGTTCAACATTATATCCATCGTGACTATATATAACCAATACTGTGAACCATACAAGATACGTATTTCACAGTTCATGAATATTACAGAATACAATAATGTACAAAAATATAATAGATTCCTATTTTACAGATTTAATATTATTAGATTATAAACAAATTAACTAGTAAAAAAATAATTCAACTATTTAATATTGTCAAATACCTGAAGCTCTGCCCACACTATCAAATTTTATGTGGCAAATTTGTGTGATGTGCCCATATATGGGCACAATGTTGTCATATTACATCCAAATATGGGCATATCAGTTTCTAGTTACATAAAATTAATTAATTTCATAGTGTGGACAGAGGTTAAATAAGATAAATGCAATTTTAGACAAGCGATGTAAATTTCACCCACAATAGTGCCTAACTATAGAAATAACCTTAATGTGAAATAAAACCTCTATTGTATATTTAAAATCAAACAGCAAGAAATCCTTTATAGAATAAATGGTTAAACATGTGATTCCAAATACTACTTTTTGATTTGTTTTTTTTTTGTAATTTGTTGTTTATTTTAATTATATTCTATGACTGTTCGTTCAGTACGGTATGTATTTTGTATTTTAGTTAAGACTTAACGGGAAATAAGCAAATTTTTTACTTTGATAGGTTGAAATTGCACTGAATAATTTAACTTTATCAACTTATGTCAAAACAAGATCATATCACACATGTCAGAGACCTCCAAATAACATTTGGTTTTTAACTTGGTTTAAATTTGGTTTTTCTTTTAGACTTTCAAATTAAACTATTTTAAGTAGACTGATAAAAGGCACTGATATAGTAAAACATCAGACAGAATGTGGTGATAGTAAACTAAACTTCGAACATCAATTCTAAACATTTTTTTGTGCCAGTTCTGATCAATTGAAAATATGAGAATGTGACATACAGAAGCTAAGATAACACATTTGTGAGCATTTCTCGCTGTCATGACAACAAGCCCATGGGAAATATTAATCAGTTAGTTACTAGCAGCATTTTTTTTCCATACCTACAAAATTCAAAAGCACATGTTTATCCATTTTCCAATCATGTGCTATAGGCAAGTTAAACCACCAAATACTGAAAACTTTTATATCCATGTTTAAATAAATAATAAATAAATTAGTTTTATGTCCTGCCATTTCCTTTTTTTTGCTACCAATATTACAATCCTTATTGTGTACTGTAATGTTAAATTTAGAATATTGCAAACAGTAAATGTTTTACTTGTTTCGACCAGGTTTAATGTATACCAGTATAAAGATTTGATCATAAAAAAACAAATGGCTTAATAAAGAAGATTAAATAAGAAACAAGTTTTCACTTGGCATTAACATGACAATTTTTTTTATATGAAAAAGAGATCCAAACAACTAATATTTATAATAAAATACTGTCTATTATTACAATGAATATTTACTTTCAATATCTTGATAAATTATCAAGTCCAAGATTATGTATCTGGCAAAAACTGGCAAGAATGAAAAATATTATTTAAGTGATCAAAAACAAGTTGGTTATGAAATGGGGGCCTGTAGTGTACACTGTGATCTTAAAATAGGCTATGACTGCATGCAACATTTGGACTTGCTGATAAAATTTTGTCTACTATTACAATTAATATTTTCTTTCAATGTCTAGATAAAGCATCAATTCAGAGATATATAACTTGCAAGAAACTGGCAAGATTGGCAAATATTATTCAGCTGATCAAAAACAAATTGGCTCCAAACAGGGCGAGTACTGGGTTCTTCAAAAAAAAGCTGTGTAAAATAAACAAAACTATTATAATAAATCTAAATAGGCCTAACTAATAAATGAAAATAATAGTGAATAGCAAATAAGTATATTTATAGTCAATGAGTACATTTTATATTTATTTAATGAAAAGGTATCTTCCGACAGCCATGTTTGACCGTTGAACCATAGGCAACTGTATAGGCTACGTAAAGACTACTGTGTTCACTGTTACACTGACTAGAATTTACTGTTAGGATTAGGATGTATGTCAAACAAAATTGGAAATATTAATAAAGATGTCTTAGTCAAGAAATAAAATGAAGAATATAATTATAAGAAAATAATTTTAATACCAAGGTTTATTTTTTTGGCATAAATCTTAAATCCTTGATCCTTTCACATTATACTTTACATCAACAAATACATTAAATTTGACAACATAATGAACTAAGCATACCAAGTACAACATAAATCATTTATAAATTTACTATAATATTTAAGCGCACAAACAAGCTATGAATATCAACAATAGACAAAAATGTCCTAATAATCCACCAAAGGTCAAAGTTTATTGATCAAAATACAAAATACAGTGCACTCTTAAAGCCAAGCTCCGGAGGAAAAAACAATTTTGATAATATGATGAACTATTTTTTCAAGACACAAAATGAGTGACGAAAACTTGAGAGCGTTAAATATATATATAATAGATTTTTGAATATTTAAAAACTGGAGTAAAGGGGCATCGCCACCATTTTCCTCAGTTTTTGAATATTCAAAAATCTGTATCTCATTAACCATCCTGAGTTTTTCGTCAAACACCATTATTCTTGTGTCTCAGAAAAATCGGTTTTACATCGCTTTTTTATCCTATCCAGAACCTGACTTAAAAAAGAATAAGTTGGCAAAAAAAATCTTGTGAAATTCAGAATATAAATTTCTTTGATCCAATTTCTCCTAAACTCACCAAGCATTTGTAGATGCAGTATACACTAATAAATACTATAACACACAATTATATTACCTACTAATATGACCTAGATATACAAATAAAATAAATATAAGAACGGAAACAAACATAACATTCTCTAATTATGCTGGAAATTTGCCACATAAGGTCTATCCAGAATAAACACGCGTCAGTTAAATATTCATTAGCTGATACTGCTACTTTCATGAAATATCAATGAGATGTCATGAAATATTAAAATACAGCTCATGCAACTGAATTGTAATCGCTGTTTCTTAAGTACAAAAAAAAAAAACCCCTCTGTAACAAATACATCTTTCATGATGGAAGTGGTTTGGTAGATAAGTACCTGTTTTTATATTCATAGAAGAAGGTTCAATTAATCAACAACATGTATTTAAATTTATACACTAGACAGTAGGCCTATACTTGAAGAGGATTTCTTTGATTTTTGAAAATCATTGTTATATCTATATGTGCTACACTTTTCTAGCATAATTTCTTCATTTTTTAAAAGGGCATACATTGACCTGTGCAACTGGTTTTTAGAAAGTGAATACAGTACAAGACAGAGCAACTTAAAATAAATTGCACTTTTAAAAGAGAAGCTTATTATATTGCAAAATACTTGAGTATACTAAGCTGTATCATTAGGCTTGCTGGGTAATACTAGAGACAGCGAAATTGATATTATGATACATTCAATGCTATAGATCCTGATGGATGTAGAGTATTTCTCTGTTCGACATAATGCAGCGCTTATTAAATTCATTCCAATCCCAGCTTATTGACAATGATACTAAAAGTACAATGAATTCAAATTTCATAGTGGAATGAAAAAAAAAATGGTGACTAGTAAACAGGTGGATTCAAATGGCAACCAGTTTACCTAACTACTACTGTACACAGGCTTTGCCGTGCATACACCAACAGGGGTTTTCCCAACAACATTGTGGTTTACAGAAGGTCACTAGACTGACCCTTTTGACCATTCTATTTATAGCTCAGCTTATACACAATAAAAAATAAATGGTTCTAATTGAACATAAACCCGCATACCCTACATTTGAATACATTAACCACATACATACTGCAAAATTGTGCTAAAAAGTATGTTTGATTACAGTATTATATTGTTCATTATTAATACATTTTTACTCTTATCAAATTTGGTCAGAAATCAAACATGATTGTGACCAACTATGTATTGAATTTTGTTTTTTTTAAGACTGACAAACCTAGAATTGTATTTAAGTTTGATGTATTCAGTGGGTCGTTCATGACTATTCCTTTACATCATAAACTTATGAAATCTTAACAATTAATTACCAAACTTGTAAAGTAAATTGAATTTGTCCTATATAAGTAACAATAGTGTATTGTAATAAATCTATTAAAAAATAGATTTAGATTATATTCTTGTATTGGGCCTATATTTATTTATTTAATTATCATTATGTAAATTTTGAAATATCTTTGAATACATTAAAATATTTTATTCTTTATAAGTATAAAGATAAGATCTAATTTTTTTTTTTATTATAATTTTGGATTTAATAAACAATCATGTACCTATATTTCTGTACTTCATATTTTATTTTCACTACATCTCTCTTAAACCTATCTTCAACATATTGATTTTTTTATTTGTTAAAATCTATTAAACAATTTCCTCATTTAATAGAATGTTCCTTACAAATAAAATTTCTTTTGTACGAAGAAGACTGCCTTAGTTACAAATAACGAACTCCCAGGCAAGAAAAAGAACCGACAAAAATGGCCTACCTAATTAGGTTCAACTTCAAGCACATGGGAAATTGCCCTAACCTGACCCATCAGCTCTCCTTTTTATAATAATAAGCCAAGCAAGGCCATCATGACAGGAAGGCTTTGAGCCAGTCACAATGAATGCACCTCTAGAACAAGCTTAGTGGAAAGCAACTTCCTTCACAAAACAAAACAACTAGTCTCTTCGTTCTTTACTAGATCCACAAACAGCTTTGCTATTTGCATGCATCACTTTACCTCAATGGGTTTACTATATTATTGTGTGCAGTTCTAAATTGAAATCAAAGAAGTTATAAAAACAACAATTTTTTTAAACTAATGGAAATAAATTAAAATGATTTAACAACTATTAAACATTTTCATCCAGTTAGTATTAAAAATCCTTCCCTTTACAATTATATACAGTATTGTACACATGTAAAATTTGCAATTTACTACCTAGAAAATATTTTTTAAATATATATTTGAATATAATTATGCATTCCTATCTCTTTTATTTACAATCTTGAATAACACTTTTATATATAATATAATGAACTGATTTACCTAAAGTAAGTTTGGTATTTCCCTTTCAAACCAACAATAACGCATGTCTAAATAATAGTTATCAATTAATTAATGCATAAATTTACAGCCAAGAATTTAAAAAAAATAATAATAATAATAATAATGCAATACACATTACATTAAGTTTTAGAACATAAAAAACATGTTTCTCTTTTCCTCTCATTATTTTTGGGAAAATCCTTTTTTTAATTCACAAGCCAAAATCCTATTCCAATAGAAATTAAAAAAAAAATCCTCACAGGTATTTGATACTATATTAATTTAATTTCACCCAACAGTGTATGACCAATGCATTGATAATACAACTGTGTATTTTTCACCGCCATTTTTTGAAAAAAAAAAAAAATTTAAAAGCTCATTCATTTTTTAAGAAACCCTGGATAAGAAACTTTTTTCCATAATAAATGGTGAATAACAACGTAAACCAGCACTGCGTAAACACAATTATAGCCTTGCATAGAAATCAAGATAATGAAATAGAAGCAATGTATGAAACAGACATACATTATGCATAGCTCATTGAAGCTAAGGATTCAGAAAGCTAGAAAAACAGAACTGCCTAACAGTGCTTGAAAAGGATAAAGACTGCCTTTATTCTCTTTGGAAGCTTCAATTTGTGTTTCAATCATCATTTCCAATCTACAGCTTGTCTAATTTCCCACCACCATAAATTTCCCATTTATATTCTAGGCCTTTAGAAAAAACTTTATGAAGGTTTGCTATTCACTGCCTTCACCATTTCTTTTCAACACACAGCAGCAGCTGTACACTCTGCCAGCATGCATGACTAATGCCATATTGATGAGAGCCATGTCATTTGCATAGTGATGTAGTTCCGGCTTTCAATACTGCAGGCAAACAGGCCTCACTGCCAGCAATGCATTGTGCACTGCCTTCACAATTAAATAATAATGATATCCTACGACCAACTCAAAACACAATCGTACCTTAATGTTGTTTATAGTTTTTATAACCAAGGAAAAGAAACTGAGAAATAAGTGTAGTGTATGGATTTTAAGCCTAATTTTCTTCAGTACAATCGAAAGGTCAAATGAGACAGCTGCATGACTATGATCCCATTAGCTAAGGGGATTGTTTATTCACACTGCTCTTGCCTTAATAATGGAATCATCTGAAAACACAAGGAATTAGACATGCTGGCTATGTTGCCATGTACATCAGATAACATTGAATTTGAAGAGCAAAATTCAATCTAAAACAGTCAATTGTAAATCATAAAACTCTGCATTCGCAGATGATAATGTAATTCACTAAGCTGCCTTGGAAGGTCACATGCTTTAGTTAAATGGACTGTGTACAACAACCAGAAAATTACAAAGACACAAAGTACTCAGTTACATCAAGACAGATATCAAAACCAAAATTTACTCATTGAAACATTAGCACTGGTCTCATATACATGAAAAAAATATTTGTGATAAAATGGATATGATCTAGGTAAACAAGTTGAGTTGTATTGGAGGCCACACCCAGCAGTAGCTATACTGCATTACACACACAAGGCCATAGTGATTCTGAATGATAGTAGACAAACTCTTTGACTAAATTTTCTCAGTAATTGATCACTGACAATCATAGATTTCAAAACATCATTAAATGTATTTATCATCTCAATCTAAAAAATACAAGTTTGACTATTTCTGATTAATGCTGTGGATTTCAGAGGGAAATATTACGTAAACAAATCCAATTTCACAACTTTTTTTTTTGTAACTAGCTACACTATAGCATACTGCAATGATGGAGTTCTAACCATACGCAAATGTTTTTTAAATGTTATCAGAATGGTTGATACCTTAAATAAAGTTTGTAAAATTAGATATTACAAATTAATTATTCACCAGGTGATTAAATCTGCAGGTCTTAATTAATGGCTTGTTAATTGGCAATGGTCACTAACTACATACAAAACAAGGCATTACCATCTCATTCTTTTTTGTAACAATGGAGCAACAGAATTTTTATTTTCATTATCACACTTTTATATTATTATAATTATTAATCCTTTTTTGTACCTTTCTATTATAATTTATAAACATGCAGTTATCATGCTTCAGAATTAATATCTCAATTTAGGAACAAACCTTTGGCTTCTGGTTGGCTCCTTGTTGCTGTAGTATAAAATTCTGTTGTTGGCTATTAGAGGTGAGGTTTTGGGAGCCATGCTATTTGGAAGAAAATTGTTAGCATTATAATATAAAAAATAATAAATAATTTGTTCTTATTCAGAGAGAGCAACTCACCATCTGCACAATGAAAAAGTAGGTCTAGGTAGGTCCTAGAAAAATGTGTTGTGTTGCCTAAACAGAATGTTAATCGTAAATCGGGTAGGTCAGGATTTTTTCTTTCTAGACCGTTAGGCTAAAATCTATAGTTAACATCTCAACTGAGGTAAATAAAGCTTATAAAATGCATATATCATACCTTGAGATTCTTCCTTAGGAAAAAAAATTTTTTTTTTTTAATCCAAAAAGATTTTTTTGTTTGTTTTTTTGTAGAGCTTACACAACAGAAACTTGCATTTCTAATTATGCAATGCCTAGTTTTTATACAAGTGAAGAAATGATATTTTAGCAGAATTTGAACCTAGGGCCCAGAAATGTGTATGATAGCCATCCAACCACAAACATACTACTGTAAGCTTCATGGCTATAATTGAAAAAAGATTCAAGTACCAAAAGTCTATTTAAGCATGTGGTTTCTTTTGATGGTAATAATAATTCAATTAGGATTATTATTTGCACATTATTATTTTTTTCAAATTCACTTACAAGTTTAATTGCACCTTAGGTTAATAAATACTTTTGATAAAACATTAATGAATCCAGAATTATGCTGGTCTTTTTAGGAGTTTACCTTCTGTTATCCAATTTCAATCAAATGACTATTGTCCTCGGCTCTTTATTCCAAAAACAATACTACATGCCTTAATGTTTCCAATCATATCTTAGTAGCTAATTCAAAACATATTTCATCTTTGTAGCAAAATCATTTCTAATTAAATAAACCTTTAAAAGATTACTGATTATCACATTACACATTTTTTCTTGTACTATAGCATTTAGAAAAATTAGTTTTTGAGGTTTTGTGGACTGATTTATGGGAATAAAATCATTAGAATCGTTGAGCAGCAGTATGATTTAATATTAAAGAATAAATCACTAAGGTAATTGTAGACAAATAGTACAACACAGTATTACATTAAAGGCACCATGTATTATTTTTATAATCATGGGTTACTGTCAACTTTCAGTTGGGCACAATTATAAGAACATCGTTGAATTGTATATAAAAACACTGATTAAATTATAATACTGTATATTCTTGCGTACAAGGGGACTGTATAAGACCACCCCCGAGTTTGAGAAGATTTTTGAAGTTTTTTGTATGTCACGCATATAAGACGAGCCCCACACCCAAATTCATCATGTGAATTCCTACTTTTTGCTGCTCTTTAACATAGTCTTGATTCTACATCTAGCTGGCTAAAAACGGAGCCAAATGTAGGGCTAATCTTCCAAATGATACCATTTTATGGGCTTTTAAATGTTGAAAGAGTCAGTAGCTTCATTTCAGTAGTAAACTTGCTTGTTATGGACGATCTGCACATAACACGAACATGATTTAAACATCAAAAATGTGTATACGTTGTGGGTATAAGACGACCCCCTGTTTTTTTTTTTATCGTAATTTGCTTTTTTAAGCCTTGTCTTATACGCAAGAATATACGGTACTTAGATCTGAATTCGACATCATTTTCAACATCTAATAAACCTTGGTATAAATAATAAACATAACTTGTGTGTAAAATTGATCAGGAACTTTAAAAAAAAAAAGCTCATCGAAAACAAGATAAACTTGTATGTACATGTACATTTTTATAATTTTTTGATGATTATAATTTCCCAGCATTATTAATGACACTTAAATATTATTGGAGGATGATTTAAATCATTTTTATGTTGTCTTAATTAACAGATGTTTTTCTGTTTGTTATGAAATATAGAACTTTGAACATGTGTGTCCAGTCTCCAGTACTTGTAAGAGAAACTAAGAATTATCGGTTAAGATACTACAATATCGCTTGAAAAAGTTATCAAGTTTAAAACCACAGAAAAAATTTGCAGTACCAAAAAATATTTTTCTGAATTTTAATGTCAACTTTTAAAATGTTTATTTTTTTTATTTTTTTTTTATTTATTTTTTTTTGTGGTGTCTTTGTTAAAATAAAATAATAAAAATTATTTTTTAGTGTCATTTTAATGGAGAATTTTTGTAATGCTGGTGATGTAAACAAAGTTGTACTGTTGTATACAAATTAGTGATATAAGGAAATAATGGAATATATTCTAACAAACCTGTTGAGAGTATGGGCCATTTCCACTGACAGAGCTAGGCATTGGCTGACTCCTACTGGTCATCGGGTAACGAGATGGGGGCATGCCTGGATATGGCCTACCACCTGGACCATACTGACCTTGTTGATAAGGCGATGATTGGAATGGGCTTGGACGCTTCGGCATTGGACTACCATCCGGCATCATGTTCATCTATAAGATATAAAATATTTCCAATTTTTATATGAAATCTACAGAAAAATCTGTGCTGGAAAATGGTGTTCCCAAAATAATGCAAATGAAATTATGAAGTGTCTATACTTAACCACATATTTATTAAATATTTTATTTTCAAAAGGGAATTCATATTATCTACAGCTCTGCAAACACTTTCATGTCTTATATGACAAGTACCTGTGCTTTGGTCATATATGGGAGAGACATGACATCATCCCACACATGCACTTCATGTCATCCATGAAAACTATTTCAAAAAAATCCAAGAGGGTTATTTCATATGAAATTATGTCATCTATGATTGATTTTTCATATGAAATTGAAGTCAAGATAAGATACTTTTATTATGATTTTACATCCGTTTATTTCATATATTTTACAATTCCTAATTAACATTTAAAACCTGATTAAAAATAGGTTCATCAAAATAGAATGTTCTCACATTTGAGATTAAAAGGTCAACAACCACAACCATATTTTAAATTAGTCTGGTAATCCAGATACTTAGCTTCTCTTCTAAATGTGACAGTCTAAGTCAAAAATAGTTTACTTGTAACAAACCAGTATGTTTTCATGTAACATTCCTCAGATGTGCTTTTAAATTTAGAATTTCTAATCTATTTTTCCACCCTAGCAAATGAAAATCATTGATCACTTATTTTAATCTACTCTTTTAATCAACTACTCTCTTTTCTAAAGAAAAAAAATGCACTTTGTAAAGTATTATATTTAGTTGTCCTTGTAAATGCGTATCTGTCATTGTCAACCAATCTACTGCACAGTATGTAAACAGCTATAAATATAGTACAGTTAATACACTTTAATAAATCAATCAATTTTATTAATGAGGAGCAACCATTACTATAAATTTTTAAGATATCCAAAAAAATCAGTGAATCGGCTTAGTGACCATTAATAACAATAAACAGTAGTTATTATAGGTTTCATGTTTAGAAAAGTTTTCTCATACAACCTGAACAATTGATGACATGCTGATACAAAAAAGAAGCTTTCAAATGGGAAACATTCTCAACATGAGCTGAGGGAGAAAATCCACTACACTTTTTTTTTCATTTATAAGAACACATTTTATAAGAACACTGAGGCTGAAATTTCTTAAAAATTAAGAATAATATAAGAACAAATTGAGGCTGAGGTAAAATGTCTAATGAGATTTTTATATTTAAAAACTCAGAAAAAACCAAAAATTTATATCTACTACCTTGTGTGCAATAGATATGTAATACCTTCTATAATGCAGGACAGTATAGCCCCTTTCAGACAGAAAATACCGCAATAATACCCTAATCACGCCGTCGTTATTGCCGGCGCAGACCCTTTAACACAGCTAGTTAAAATCCGGTAATAATACCGTATCCTGTCTGAAAGGGTTCTCGCGGAAAGGAGTATTTGATGTCTGTGGCGCTTGTGCTTGTTAACAAAGAGGGCACAATTTTTTGTTTACTCCATTAATCCAATATGGCCGGAGATGAAGTAATAAAACTGCTGCTTTGCAAATGTTTTTTAACGCTGGCTATGTTTGCAATACATATAAATTTGAGAAACAGAAGGCGTTAAGGCGAGGCCGGCTTGAATTTTGAGCAGATAGGTGCAGACGATTTTCGTGTCTAAAGAACCGTCAGCTAGCGATTTCATCGGCTTTGTTAGCTGCAGCAGCGGTTGATGGCTGCTCGTGTGACTGTCTGATTTGTTATGCCTCAGTGCGTAAGACGGCCTACCCTTTCTTATCGAGTTGGGCAAAACTCGCTACGGTATTAAGACTAAGTCCCGAGGAGGTCTAACTGAAGCCGGCGTTTAGGCGTATTTACCCTTTCAAACAGAACGCCGGTGTTCGAGAAATACAGTATTAATACCGTTTTGCAGGTCTGTCTGAAAGGGGTATAAATGTACAACCTGTCATTTTGGGCCAATTTTACTGGGAAAATTTTTCCTTGGATTTAGATGGCCATTTGAAGGCTAAATGCAGGCTTGGTCCCAGAGGATCTTCAGTGAAACGGGAAGGTCGGCTTAAAGGCCAGACATACGAAAATTGCCCAAAAATCTTATTACAATTGGTGGTCTTATACGCAGATCGCCTTATCGGCGAGTATATACGATAAACTAGGGATGGCTAAGTTAGATGGTGTAGCAATAAACAAACAAAGATATACTGGTCAAACACACCTTCCTCAAAATATCAGTGTCAAAAATAAAGAAAGGGAACCAAAAGTGGGAAGATGACAATTTGTCCGCTTTATTCCACCAGAAAAATAGAAACCAGTGGAGAATTCTTATAAATCATTGAGCCAAAAGGTCTTGCTCCACCACCCTACAAGTGCAACAAGGAATCCATACTGACATGAATAGCAGAATGATTGTCACTGCTACCCCTTTATGCTTTCTGTGGTTTTCATACATGCTAATGTAACCATGTGGTCCACTGACGAATGCCAAAAAGAGGGATGCAAACAATTGAGATTGAACATTCTTATTGGTCTGACAGACACTGCCTCAATGCAAAGTTTGAAGGTACACCAATTGGTGGTCTTAGATGCATTTCCACAAAGTCCTGATCATGGTGTCTTTAAAATTTTGTGATAATGCATGTTCTTTGGTTCATAGTGTCTTGGTTTCTTTTCAGATTCATAGTGATTCTAGCGCCCGTATTCTTAAAACAAGCTTTACTCAAAACTTTGAACTAGAACTTCATTTAGTGCTAGTTGCAACTTCAACCTCAATTTGTATTCACAAACAACATAGTCAAAATTTGAACTACAAATAAATCAATTCCTAGTTTTAGTAAAATGAAGATGACTGGCAAGCCACGACTATCAAACTAACCAATGAAAAGGTTTAACTTTAATAGCAGATGAAATTTTAGAGATCCGGTAATGCGCATGAATATTAAGCTGCCGTCTGTGGTTCAAAAATTTATTTCCTCGTGTTCATAATACATGATCATTCGCTTAATTAATTTTCTATAATAATAATTATATTACGATAGAGAATTTTAAAAGCCACTGAAAATTTGCTTTCTGTAGAGAACTATTATAGTTGAGCCTGAGTGAGGGCAGCGCCATCTTTGTTGTGTTGTTATGGTGAAGCTACATGACCGCAACGCGAGGGGATTTCATGCAAATCAGGAACTATCGCATGCGGGTAGCCAAACATGTTAATTTCTCCTTTGGAAGCTAAACTTGATCTCTTTTGTTTAACACACCGAAGATATATCAAACCTGCGTACACAATCGTTTTTGTAAGTTACAAAAAACACGTTTTTAGTGGGGTACTGTAAATATTTCAAGTCGGCGATTTAGCCTGACCCTAGGCTGACTAAAAAAAATCGGCCTGCGAAGGTATTATTTTGGTCACGTTCGCGTCATTTAGTCGTAGTGCTAGTGGAAGTTCGTTTTAAGAATACAAAATGACGTAATTTTTAAGTTTTAGCTCGAACTACGACTAAAGTTAGTTTTATGAATACCAAGGTAGATCTTTTTTTCTTTTTGAATCCTGATTTAATAAATGATGTCAGACCAAGATCGACATAACATATCCACTCCATATCCATTAATGTGGAGATATAAAAATCTGTTCTTTAAGCAAATGAGAAACTTAATATACTTATCATGGCAGTTTTATCCATGATTTTGACGACTACACTTATTGTTGAATGTGTACACATTTAGGATGCTGCTACAAAATCATTAGCCTAAAGACACTATACTTTATAATAATCTTGAGTAACAAAAACAAGTTAAAAAATATGTGCTAAGTTGTTTCTGATTGACACCCACAAAAAGTAAAGATCAATAAAACAACTGATTAATGGAAGTCCCATCTTAGCATATTTCAGTCAATAGTAAACCTGTGAAGTAGTTGCAGATGCAATTAATCTAGTCCAGGCTTAATGTCCCAGATAAGACGTACAAGTCATCATATAGTTTCATTAGCATGATAATGCAAAAAGGATTTCCCCAGCAGATTAGTAACCACCAGATTCTTGATGCAATGCCTAGCAAGGGTATCCCCTGATCTATTTTTAGCATCTATTATCAGGCACAGACAAATAGACTCAAGTGACTGAATTATTCAATGCACTTATGTAAACATTAAATACCTGTCAGAATGGGGTCATGACCTCAATTATTTGAAGAAACTAGGATCACTTTCAAAGCTCACAGGTGTTACATTAAATCATGTCATATTAAGCAAAGGTTATAATACCAGGGGATTACCTACTATTTTTAGAAAATGCCTTTTTCATCATAAATCATATTGACAATTTCAGCATTAATTGCCAAGGGCAATGAGATGTCATTCAATTGAACATCCAGGGTAGTATTAATACAGTGACAGCAATAATTCAGGTTTTTCTTAAAGACTTGGCAAATACCTTCATAGCAGTTAGTCAAGAAGTTAATGTCCACATAGAACCCACTCATGCGGCAACATGACAGAAGCAATCCGATTGTCATATATTACACTCACTGCAGATATAAAGTAACATTCAATAATCCTCATGACAATTACTTCCGAAATATCCAGTATATATTCATTCATATTGTAACCAATTCAAGTTGGTTGTAACCAAAAAGACAAAATCAGAATGATTGAGTATATATAACCCCACAGAGAACAGTCTGCATATTCATATCTTTTGTTTGTAAGTGATGTGTCAAAATAGCCCCAGGTATCAGAAATCATGCTAGATTGAGAACAAAGAACAAGAAGGCGAGATTCAGTGAGGAGAATACTTAGCATTGTATTATGTATACTGAATGAACAGTTCTACTGCAACATCTGTATTCATTAACTCTGATTCTAGCAAACAGAATATTAGATACAATAGTTCATTTAACCATCCTCCACAAACCATTGTTAGAATCATTATTACCATGAATCATTAGACTTATTTACCTGAAGACATGTACTGTATAAACGAAAGCTTGTTGTTTAAAGGGTAAAAAAATAACCCA